GGCTCACCATCACGGCACGATGCCGCGGTACCCATTGGCACAGCGTGGTGCCTGCCGCCATGGCATGGTGCCACCAGGCTCACCATCATGGCCATGGTACCCCATGGCACGGCATGATGCCCACCACCATGTCATGGTGCCACTGGGCTCACCATCACGGCACGATGCCGCGGTACCCATTGGCACAGCGTGGTGCCTGCCGCCATGGCATGGTGCCACCAGGCTCACCATCATGGCCATGGTACCCCATGGCACGGCATGATGCCCACCACCATGTCATGGTGCCACTGGGCTCACCATCACGGCACGATGCCGCGGTACCCATTGGCACAGCGTGGTGCCTGCCGCCATGGCATGGTGCCACCAGGCTCACCATCATGGCCATGGTACCCCATGGCACGGCATGATGCCCACCACCATGTCATGGTGCCACTGGGCTCACCATCACGGCACGATGCCGCGGTACCCATTGGCACAGCGTGGTGCCTGCCGCCATGGCATGGTGCCACCAGGCTCACCATCATGGCCATGGTACCCCATGGCACGGCATGATGCCCACCACCATGTCATGGTGCCACTGGGCTCACCATCACGGCACGATGCCGCGGTACCCATTGGCACAGCGTGGTGCCTGCCGCCATGGCATGGTGCCACCAGGCTCACCATCATGGCCATGGTACCCCATGGCACGGCATGATGCCCACCACCATGTCATGGTGCCACTGGGCTCACCATCACGGCACGATGCCGCGGTACCCATTGGCACAGCGTGGTGCCTGCCGCCATGGCATGGTGCCACCAGGCTCACCATCATGGCCATGGTACCCCATGGCACGGCATGATGCCCACCACCATGTCATGGTGCCACTGGGCTCACCATCACGGCACGATGCCGCGGTACCCATTGGCACAGCGTGGTGCCTGCCGCCATGGCATGGTGCCACCAGGCTCACCATCATGGCCATGGTACCCCATGGCACGGCATGATGCCCACCACCATGTCATGGTGCCACTGGGCTCACCATCACGGCACGATGCCGCGGTACCCATTGGCACAGCGTGGTGCCTGCCGCCATGGCATGGTGCCACCAGGCTCACCATCATGGCCATGGTACCCCATGGCACGGCATGATGCCCACCACCATGTCATGGTGCCACTGGGCTCACCATCACGGCACGATGCCGCGGTACCCATTGGCACAGCGTGGTGCCTGCCGCCATGGCATGGTGCCACCAGGCTCACCATCATGGCCATGGTACCCCATGGCACGGCATGATGCCCACCACCATGTCATGGTGCCACTGGGCTCACCATCACGGCACGATGCCGCGGTACCCATTGGCACAGCGTGGTGCCTGCCGCCATGGCATGGTGCCACCAGGCTCACCATCATGGCCATGGTACCCCATGGCACGGCATGATGCCCACCACCATGTCATGGTGCCACTGGGCTCACCATCACGGCACGATGCCGCGGTACCCATTGGCACAGCGTGGTGCCTGCCGCCATGGCATGGTGCCACCAGGCTCACCATCATGGCCATGGTACCCCATGGCACGGCATGATGCCCACCACCATGTCATGGTGCCACTGGGCTCACCATCACGGCACGATGCCGCGGTACCCATTGGCACAGCGTGGTGCCTGCCGCCATGGCATGGTGCCACCAGGCTCACCATCATGGCCATGGTACCCCATGGCACGGCATGATGCCCACCACCATGTCATGGTGCCACTGGGCTCACCATCACGGCACGATGCCGCGGTACCCATTGGCACAGCGTGGTGCCTGCCGCCATGGCATGGTGCCACCAGGCTCACCATCATGGCCATGGTACCCCATGGCACGGCATGATGCCCACCACCATGTCATGGTGCCACTGGGCTCACCATCACGGCACGATGCCGCGGTACCCATTGGCACAGCGTGGTGCCTGCCGCCATGGCATGGTGCCACCAGGCTCACCATCATGGCCATGGTACCCCATGGCACGGCATGATGCCCACCACCATGTCATGGTGCCACTGGGCTCACCATCACGGCACGATGCCGCGGTACCCATTGGCACAGCGTGGTGCCTGCCGCCATGGCATGGTGCCACCAGGCTCACCATCATGGCCATGGTACCCCATGGCACGGCATGATGCCCACCACCATGTCATGGTGCCACTGGGCTCACCATCACGGCACGATGCCGCGGTACCCATTGGCACAGCGTGGTGCCTGCCGCCATGGCATGGTGCCACCAGGCTCACCATCATGGCCATGGTACCCCATGGCACGGCATGATGCCCACCACCATGTCATGGTGCCACTGGGCTCACCATCACGGCACGATGCCGCGGTACCCATTGGCACAGCGTGGTGCCTGCCGCCATGGCATGGTGCCACCAGGCTCACCATCATGGCCATGGTACCCCATGGCACGGCATGATGCCCACCACCATGTCATGGTGCCACTGGGCTCACCATCACGGCACGATGCCGCGGTACCCATTGGCACAGCGTGGTGCCTGCCGCCATGGCATGGTGCCACCAGGCTCACCATCATGGCCATGGTACCCCATGGCACGGCATGATGCCCACCACCATGTCATGGTGCCACTGGGCTCACCATCACGGCACGATGCCGCGGTACCCATTGGCACAGCGTGGTGCCTGCCGCCATGGCATGGTGCCACCAGGCTCACCATCATGGCCATGGTACCCCATGGCACGGCATGATGCCCACCACCATGTCATGGTGCCACTGGGCTCACCATCACGGCACGATGCCGCGGTACCCATTGGCACAGCGTGGTGCCTGCCGCCATGGCATGGTGCCACCAGGCTCACCATCATGGCCATGGTACCCCATGGCACGGCATGATGCCCACCACCATGTCATGGTGCCACTGGGCTCACCATCACGGCACGATGCCGCGGTACCCATTGGCACAGCGTGGTGCCTGCCGCCATGGCATGGTGCCACCAGGCTCACCATCATGGCCATGGTACCCCATGGCACGGCATGATGCCCACCACCATGTCATGGTGCCACTGGGCTCACCATCACGGCACGATGCCGCGGTACCCATTGGCACAGCGTGGTGCCTGCCGCCATGGCATGGTGCCACCAGGCTCACCATCATGGCCATGGTACCCCATGGCACGGCATGATGCCCACCACCATGTCATGGTGCCACTGGGCTCACCATCACGGCACGATGCCGCGGTACCCATTGGCACAGCGTGGTGCCTGCCGCCATGGCATGGTGCCACCAGGCTCACCATCATGGCCATGGTACCCCATGGCACGGCATGATGCCCACCACCATGTCATGGTGCCACTGGGCTCACCATCACGGCACGATGCCGCGGTACCCATTGGCACAGCGTGGTGCCTGCCGCCATGGCATGGTGCCACCAGGCTCACCATCATGGCCATGGTACCCCATGGCACGGCATGATGCCCACCACCATGTCATGGTGCCACTGGGCTCACCATCACGGCACGATGCCGCGGTACCCATTGGCACAGCGTGGTGCCTGCCGCCATGGCATGGTGCCACCAGGCTCACCATCATGGCCATGGTACCCCATGGCACGGCATGATGCCCACCACCATGTCATGGTGCCACTGGGCTCACCATCACGGCACGATGCCGCGGTACCCATTGGCACAGCGTGGTGCCTGCCGCCATGGCATGGTGCCACCAGGCTCACCATCATGGCCATGGTACCCCATGGCACGGCATGATGCCCACCACCATGGGGCCGGGTATGGGGGGCACCCAGTTACCCCAGTGCTGGGTATGGGGGGGCACCCAGTTATCCCAGTGCCAGCTTTGGGGGGCCACCTGCTTACCCCAGGGCCAGGCATGGAGAGCCACCCAGTTACCCCAGGGCCAGCTTTGGGGGGGCACCCAGTTACCCTGGGGCCGGGTATGGGGGGCACCCAGTTACCCCATTGCTCGGTATTGGGGCACCCAGGTCCAGCTTTGGGGGGGCACCCGGTTACCCCATGGCTGGATATGGGGGGCACCCAGTTACCCCAGTGCTGGATATGGGGGGGTACCCAGTTACCCCAGTGCTGGGTATGGGGGTGCACCCAGTTACCCCGTTGCTGGATATGGGGGTGCACCCAGTTACCCCAGTGCCAGCTTTGGAGGGGGCACCCAGTTACCCCATTGCTGGGTATGGGGGTGCACCCAGTTACCCCAGTGCCAGCTTTGGAGGGGGCACCCAGTTACCCCATTGCTGGGTGGGGGGGGGGCACCCAGTTGCCCCAGTGCCAGTTATGTGAGTGAGGCGCTGGTTGGCTGGTTGCAGTGCCAGTTGTCTCTGGTTGGTTGCCTCGCTGGCCAAGATGCTGATTGGCTGGTGGAGCTGCCAGCTGGCTGCAGTGGGTTGGTCAAGGGGCTGGTTAGCTGTGGTTGGTTGGCTGGTTGAGATGCTGGTTGGCTGGTTGAGGTGCCGGTTGGCTGTGGTGGGTTGGCTGGCGGGCCAAGGTGCTGGTTGGCTGGTTGAGGTGCTGGTTGGTTGTGGTTGGTTGCCCTGTCAGCCAAGGTGGTGGTTGGCTGGTTGAGACACTGGTTGGCTGGTTGAGATGCCAGTTGGCTGTGGTTGGTTGGCTGGTTGAGACGCTGATTGGTTGGTTGAGGTGCTGGTTGGCTGTGGTTGATTGCCCTGTTGGCCAAGATGCTGGCTGGCTGGTTGAGATGCTGGTTGGCTGGATGGGGTGCCAGTTGTCTGTGGTTGGTTGCATCGTTGGCCATGAGACTGGTTGGCTGATTGGGGTGGCAGTTGGCTGTGGTTGGTTGCCTCATTGGTCACTGGTTGGCTGGTTGAGGTGCCGGTTGGCTGTGGTTGGTTGGCTGGTTGAGATACTGACTGGCTAATTGAGGTGCTTGTTGGTTGTGGTTGGTTGCCCTGTTGGCCAAGGTACTGGTTGGCTGGTTGAGACACTGGTTGGCTGGTTGAGGTGCCATTTGGCTGTGGTTGGTTGCCTTGTTGGCCAAGAGGCTGGTTGGCTGGTTGAGATGCTGGTTGGCTGGCCAGAATGCTGGTTGGCTGTGGTTGGTTGGCTGGTTGAGGTGCTGGTCAACTGGCTGGCTGCAGTGCTGGTTGGCTGTGGTTGGTTGCCTCATTAGCCAAGATGCTGATTGGCTGGTTGAGGTGCTGGCTGGCTGTGGTTGGTTGGCTGGTTGAGGTGCTGGTTGGCTGGTGCGGTGCTGGTTGGCTGTTGTTGGTTGCCTCACGGGCCAAGATGCTGGTTGGCTGGTTGAGATGCTGGTTGGCTGTGGTTGGTTGGTTGGTTGAGATGCTGGTCAGCTGGCTGGGTGAGGTACTGGTTGACTGGCCAGGATACTGGTTGGCTGTCATTGGCCAGCCGGTTGGGATGCTGGTTGGTTGGCTGCCCAGGATTCTCATTGACTGTGGTTGGTCATCGGGTTGGGTTGCTGATTGGCTGGTTGGTTAGCTAGCTGGTTCATTGGCTGGGATGCTGGCTAGCTGGCTTTTTGGTTGGCTGGCCAGCTGGCCGGGATGCTGGTTGGCCAGTTGACCGCCTTGGCCACGCTCTCCATGAGTGGTGACCAGACAAAGCTGGGCCAGGACCAGGCGGTTGTGGTGCTGCCGGTGCTGCTCGGGGTGAAGCTGGGATCCCGTTTGGGGTGGCACATCCTCGCCGGCAACCCTGGGGGCGGGGGTCCGCCTCGGTGGAGATGTAGCCATGGCTGGTGCCGGGTGGCTCGGTTGGAGTGTGGTGCTGGGACCCCAGTGCTGGTGACCAGCCAGCCCGGTCAGAATGCGTTACTGGTGCCAGGCGGCTTGGTCACGGCACGGTGCTGGTGCCAGCCTGGCTCGGTCACAGTGTGGTGCCGGTGCTGGGTGGTGCCAGTGCCGGGAGGCTCGGTCAGAGCGTGGTACTGGAGCGTGGTGGCTTGGTTGGAGCACGGTGCTGGTGCCAACGGTCTTGGTTGAGCGCAGTGCCGGCGCCAGACGGCTCAGCCGGAGCGCGGTGCCGGTGCTGGGCGGTGCCAGTACCGAGAGGTTGGTCGAGCACGGTGCCGGTGCCAGGCTGTGGGGTCGGAGAGCAGTGCCGATGTCTGGCCGGATCGTGGTGCTGGTGCTGGACGGCATGGCCGGATCACGGTGCCGATGTCCAACTGGATTGCGGTGCCGGTGCCGGATGGCATGGCCAGATCACGGTGCCGATGTCCGTCCAGATCACGGTGCCAGTGCCAGATGGCATGGCCGGATCACGGTGCCGATGTCTGGCCAGAATGTGGTGCCGGTGCTGGACGGCATGGCCGGATCGCAGTGCCAATGTCCAGCCGGATTGCGATGCCGGTGCCAGGTGGCATGGCCGGATCCCGGTGCCGATGCCGGGTGATGTGGCCGGATTGTGGTGCCGATGTCTGGGTGGATCATGGTGCCGATGCTGGGTGGCATGGCCACATCACGGTGCTGATGTCCATCTGGATAACGGTACTGGTGCCAGGCGGCGTGGCCGGATCATGATGCCATTGTCCATCCGGATCGTGGTGCCAGTGCCAGTTGGCGTGGCCAGATCACGGTGCTGATGTCCAACTGGATCACGGTGCCGGTGCCAGATGGCATGGCCGGATCGCGGTGCCGATGTCCAGCCGGATTGCGATGCCGGTGCCAGGTGGCATGGCCAGATCCCGGTGCCGATGCCGGGTGATGTGGCCGGATTGTGGTGCCGATGTCCAGCCGGATCGCGGTGCCGGTGCCAGGTGGCGTGGCCGGATCGTGGTGCCGATGTCTGGGTGGATCATGGTGCCGATGCCGGGTGGCATGGCCACATCACGGTGCTGATGTCCATCTGGATCACGGTACTGGTGCCAGGTGGCGTGGCTGGATCATGATGCCATTGTCCATCCGGATCGCGGTGCCGGTGCCAGATGGCATGGCCGGATCGCAGTGCCCGATGTCCAGCTGGATCATGGTGCCAGTGCCAGGTGGTGTGACCGGATCCCGGTGCCGATGCCGGGTGATGTGGCCGGATTTTGGTCCGATGTCCAGCCGGATCACAGTGCCGGTGCCGGGTGGCGTGGCCGGATCGCGGTGCCGATGTCTGGGTGGATCATGGTGCCGATGCCGGGTGGCATGGCCACATCACGGTGCTGATATCCATCTGGATCACAGTACCGGTGCCGGGCGGCGTGGCCGGATCACGGTGCCGATGTCCGACTGGATCGCGGTGCCCGTGCCAGGCGGCGTGGCCGGATCACGGTGCCGATGTCCGTCCGGATCGCGGT